CCCCAAAACCCCAAAACCCCAAAACCCCATTAATCCAGATTATCACACATTTTTCGAACAAATGTAATTGGGAAAACTTATTATTAGAAATATATATATAGAAATTAAGTTTTCAAATGAATAATGACGATGAAGATTAACAACGTAAGATAAAATTTTGATAATTTATTATTCTTTATTAGTATTCAATGGTAGGTCTCATTATAACTAAGATCAATTGAGGCCAGGTTCAGCAATGAGTGCAAATAAGTAAGGGATGACAGGCAGTAAACTAGATCAATCATTGAACAGAGTTACTAATAAAATGTATGAAGATCTGAACAATAACAGTCCAAGAATTGATGATGATGATCTTGATGCTGCAGAAGAGGAGCATTAAATGAGGCATAAATTCAACTAGAGTATGAAAGCCTCTTAAATTAACAATTAAAGCAATGTTCCTAACAGCAATAGAGGGGGTGAAAATAGGCTATTAGCAAGGTTGAATTAAAATAGTTCTTAAAAAAGAAACGATTCAGTTGATCCATTAACTCAGCCAGGAACTACTGAGAAGCAGGTTATTATTTAGAAATTAAGAGGGTAAAATGAAAAGTTAAAGACTGAATTAAAAATATTGACATCCAAGCTTGAAGAATTTGTGGAGAGATCAAAGCAAAAGAAGTAAGATAGATAAGTTTAGCCCAAAGATGCAGAGAAAGATCAATATATAAAACAAAAGGAACATGAACTAAAGCAAAGCTAAAATAAGATTTAATACTACAAAAAAGAAATAGAAGCAATGAGGAGATAGTTAGAGGGTTCATATAATATACAAAAGTAAAATATTATCCTTTAGAAATTTTAATTAGGATTATTTAGCTGGAAGATGAAATGAAGAATAAAGAAAGAATATTAAAAGGTTTACAAGAAGAGAATGAATCTCTAATGAAAGTATAAAAAGAATAAGAAAAAGCACTGTAAGCTTTGAATAAAGAAGGGGATTATGATAAAAAAATAAATGAGCTGAATGAAGAACTTAAGAAGTCAAAAGAGCATCTTAGAAAATTGCAATTCAAATAAAGAGAAGAGGAAAAAAATATGAAAAATTAGCATGAATAGCTAATTTTATTAGAGGAAAGATGTAGAAAAATGGTTTAATTGATAAAGGAAAAGAAAAAAGAGAGGTAGAAATTGAAGGAAGAGTCAGAAAGTCTTTTAAATGGAGGAACATCAAATAAATACACTTAAGAAGAACTAGAAAAATTACAGTAGTAACTCAAAGAAGCTGAATAAGAAAAGTAGCTAGAAGAAAAGAGATTGAAAGCTTAAATATAGCAATAAGAATAATAGATTAAATCACTTTAACATGAACTTGACCTCTTGAAAATGTAGATTAAAGAAAAAGATTCAGAGTATAGAATTAATGAGATGAAGATTAGAGAATTAAGAAGATAAGTTCCAGCAAGAGTTTTAAAGCCTTTGGATTAAAAGACTAAGATGATGAGTAATAAAGGTAAAGGACTAAATGGAGAAGAATTGATGTCAAGTTTAGCTCAATAGTAGTCAACTCCAAATATTCCTAAGCCTTAAAAAAAGCCAGCTCCAAGACCATAGCCACCCTAAAATTAATCTAAGAATGCCACAATGCATAATAATGATAATAACAGTCACATGAATAATCAGATGTTTACTTAGCAAATGATGAATTAGTCTATAAATCGAGATATTGAACAAACATATTAGAATAATTATAAATCAGCAGCAGAAAATCATCTTCAACAAAATGTTGATTAAAATGAGCTCTATGATGATAAACATTAGGATAACTAGATGAACTCCTCAAATAATAACAACTTCCAAAGCAATACTAACTTATGAAATTAATCTTAATTTATTAAATTTAAAATAAGTTAATTAAGGTTCGATTATTTGACAATATATCTTTGACCGAATTTTAAACTAATTCATTTTCTATTCTTCTGTTATGGCTGAGTCTATTAAGGTTCTACTTTTGCCAAATAAACTTTCTCTTTTGCTAGCATGTTAAGGTTAATTTCTCTTTTCAGATTAACTTTTGCATTAATAAGTGCTCTATCCTAAATATTTTAAACATCGAGCATACCAGATGCTAACTATGGTATATAGGGCTGTAATAGAATTGAAGAAACTCTTAATATTTCAAAAGTAGTAAACAATAATGCTTCTATTTATTCATTTTCCTTGATATTCCAGAACTAATTTTCAGCTAATAGATGATTACCTAAATATAAAATCTGTTCAATGATAGTGAATGCTGATACAAAATCATACTCTTCAAAATGCTTAATAACCTAGTCTGAAAGCTCATTAATGCTAGACTCAAACGATACTCCAATGTATTAAATTTATTCATCATTTAAGGGTTACAGCTATGTTCTATTTTTAAGAATTTTCTTTCCCGATATTCTCTGAAGTAAGTTCAAATACTGATCACAGATAATCTAATTATGATGATCTATCAAGTCATTCATTTCAAAATTTCTATCCTTAGATTGTGGCCCTTAACTTAAAAAGTAAGATCTAACTGAATTAGAGCCATAGGACTTTAGTATTTCATAAGGATCAATTACATTTCCAATAGACTTTGACATTTTCATCTAATGATATATTTAATGAAAATGATTATACTTACATTGTTTTTTAACCAATGACCATGATTTATAATTTTCTTTGGAAGCGGTAGATCATCAGCTGCTAAAAAAGCTGGCCAATATATGCAATGAAATTTAGCAATATCTTTCCCCACAACATGAATCATTTCGCCTATCTCTTTTCCATTTTACCTCATGTTTTGGGGATAACCTAAAACGGTGAGATAGTTAACCAAAGCATCAAGCCAGACATAAATAGTTTATGAACCGTCATTTGGTACTTTTAAGCCCCAACTTATTCTACTAGTTGGTCTGCTTACTGATATATCGCTTTTTCTTGTATGCAATTCGTCTAAGAGTTTATTTCTAATATGATCAGGTTTGATGATTGCATCTTTTATCCAGCTCTCAATAACTTTCTTTAGTCTAGAGTCAATATCAAAGATGTAATTTTTTTCTGAGATAAACTCAAGTTTCTCTCCAGTTTCTGTTGTGAAACCTCCACTTTAGTCTGCTTTAAGATCTTTTTCAGAAATAAACGATTCATCATTTACTGAATAGTAACCCTCATGAACTCCTTCTACAATGTAACCCCTATCTTTTAATCTGTTCCAGAAATCCCAAACTGCAACTTTGTGATCAGCTAAATATATTTTTATCTTGATAAATATTTAACTTACTATCTGTGGTTCTAATAAATCTGTCATAGTCTATTTATGCAAGGGTAAAAAGTGATTTAAATTGATCTGAATTTTTATCACAAAACTTCTTTGGGTCAATGCCTGCTTCTATTGCTTTTTTTTGAACCTTTTATCCATGTTCATCAGTACCAGTAGAAAATAAGACCTATTCCCCATTTAATTTATGATATCTGGTAATAGCATCACACAAAATAGCTGTGTAAAGGTGCCCAATATGAGGAGTAGCATTGACATAAAATATGGGGCTTGTTACTATTTTTCTAATTTCATCACTCTAATTCAAGCTGGAATTGTGAAATTGACGGTGTTATGATGCAATGTATCTGTTTTGTTGATAAAACAATTGATTTCTCTTTAATTGTAGTGTTAATTGTTTTTTAATGGCTTGCATTTATTTATAATATTTATATCCAATGATCAATTCCAATAATTAATAAAGAAATTTGTATCGCGGGGTTTTGGGGTTTTGGGGTTTTGGGGTT